CCTGATCAGATAAAGTCTCCATCTGGTTAGGCCGCACGTCGCACCCACGGCTCGCGCGAGTTGCATATAAACAAGGCTCCGACTCGTGTCTTGAATCCTTTTTGAGAGGCGAGTGACTGGTTCGAGGTTCCGGGCGGCGTCACGGAAAGTCAGTTCGCGTCCGTGCGAGGATTATCACAGACACTCGTGCCTCCGGTACTTAAATTTGGCAACAACAACAACAAAACACTGGAAAGGCGCATTCCGATCGGCATTACACGCGTTGAGCAAATGCGTTACTTCATTTCACCCAACAGTCCAACATATTCTCATCCATTTATTCAGATACTGTGTCCAACTTCCCGGAGCTGAGTCCAAGCTCAGACAATCAAGAAATTATCCCAATTTTATGGATCCGGAAGGCTGCTTATCTTATTCACAGTGAATTCACTTGAGATCCCAACACCCCATCTATTTATCATCTGTTTTAATATTATCCGTGCACTTAAGCCGAAATTAGTACATGGTCTCGCCTCTCCAAATTTTATGACAGGAACTTTATATTAATTTGTAATTTTACTACTCGTGCTACATGTGTCGCCCATCTCATCTTCCCAGGGCCTACGACTCTAATAATATTTGTTGAAATGTTCGAATTTTGAACCTTCTCATCACGTAGTTGTCCGCAGCGTCACGTTCCTTCGCCAATTTAAAGACAAAAATTATTTTAACATGTACAGTCAACCACAAGAAAGTGGATTTAAAAGTAGTTCCCACGTTAAGAATGCAATTATTTGTGTTTAAAACTCTGCTCGCAGAAAATAAACCCAGCTTAAATCCAAGTTTCAGTCTTTCCCGCATAAAATCGCTCTACTCCATGAAACCTCGGAGATGCCTCGCGTCGAATTTCGATCCAGTGAACCGTGAAACGTCAATAAGGTCATTATTATCACAGTGGCACCACGAACAGCAAATATTTGCATTGCAAGCAATCTGGATACTCACTTGAAGTCTCTAGAGGGCGGTGAAGCTGGCGGCCTTGAAGTGTCGCTAGGGGAATCCACTGCAACCTGCAACACACATCACAATCTTTCCTAGTCGGTCTGAGTTAAAACGCGTCCACCAGAGCCAGACGCGAACCAGTCCGACGGCAGAGATTCAGAGATCAGGAGTGGAAGGAGACGCCGCGTCTCTCAGCAGAAATGTTGGGATCAGACGGCGCTCAGACACAGAGACGTTTGATAAGGTCAGTGAAATATACATACAGTGCCATCTCTGAGCAGTTAAAGCTAACTGTCCGTAGGTTATCACCAACAGGAACTGGTCCCATACAATATCAAGGAACTGCGCACACAGAAAACGCTTATTTTAACGCAAACGAAGCGCGGAAGCGGTTAAAGACGCAAGACTCAATCAACGCCATCTGCAGAATGTGTCGAGATTGTTTTCATAATCAAAACTCTCCAGAAACCCTATTTTATAAGCCCTGACGATCCAGTATATTCCACGTTGCCTAAATAAAGTGTCAACACTACGACATCTTCATAAGCAACGCAGTTTCATCCATTCCACAAAGCAGTTCTCAGCTGCTCAGATGTGCCTATAAGCTAAGTCACTTAGCTACATCGGTCTATGATATACCAGCAGTAAGTGATACTTTCCATGCCACGCACGAGGAATCTCGATTACAAACAGAAGTCCCGGATCGCTCAACAGCTCCCGTTACCATGGGGAGGGGGGAGGTTTCTTTAAAGGACTCACGCTGTGCGCTGAGACACGGGTCTTGATTGATTAAATTTCCATTTATTCTCATTATCTCGTTGAAACCGACCAGACATCAACTCTGCAACTGATTCAGCGTCATTACCACAAATTCGACTGGTAAACCCCTTGCTGGCTCATGCCATCCCACAAGGAGAACCGCTGTCATGGCAACCGCACGCGACTGTCGGTTGTCTTCAGTGTCCTTTCCCCGCCAGCGTGCGCTTGTATCTGCACTCTTGCCCAGAACCGTATCATCGAGACAGCAACCCCCCCTCCCCCACCACCACCGGGTACGCTGCCCCATTCAATTTGCCACGTCGCTCCATTCTGACGTTTCAATTTTGCTGCTGGTTTCTTGTTTTGTCTTGACGTGGCCGACTCGACTTCGCCATCCGCTCTTCACACCCACGAACGGGGTCCCCATAAAGACAATTATGATCCTCATTTGCTCTGCCTCTCGATATATTTAACTCCTTCATCCATTAATTTGCCTATTAATTTCCATATTTTTCTTAATTTCTCTTGCCTTCTTAAGCCAAATATTTATTAAACGAATTCTACTGGAAGACAGCCACGTAAAGAACGCCTTTCCAATGTTCAACCTCCTTATTCTTCGCCCTGAGCCAAAAGCCAAAGAGCATTTCGTCTCCCGGCGTGCGCCGTTGTTGCACGAAGTACCCGTGACACTTGACAGACTTCTCGGAGGTTAGTGGCAAAAAACATCTTGGCGACCGAATCATCATCATCATCATCAGCTTTGGGTCCCGAAACTGTAGCAGTTCTGGCACTCAGACCACTCTTCTTCGACTCCCCCGTAATCAAATAAGACCTGCAACCAATTGAATTACTGCGAGCGTGTTCCATTGCACAATAGATGGCTCCGCCGTAAGCGACCGGAGTTCTATTGACCACACAGAAAGAAAACAGTGGGACGACTCAGAAGAAAAGAAAGAAAGAAAGAAAGAAAGCGTCTTTCGTAGGAGAAATGGCACAACTGACAAGGCAACTCTTCGGCAGATCCACAAAGTTCCTGCAACATGGCTACACCGCGCAATGGCGGTATTTTCTTTGACGTTGGTACAACTGGAAGAGAGCACGCGAACAAGGTCGAAATGTGAACACTGCAACAAGAGACTGGAGGTACAACTCCACGCATTCTCAGGCTGGACGGAGGTGAAGAGACAGATTCATCCTTCCGCTGTTTATATCCAGAAAGCAGCCCCTGGTGTCGGTAGTATATGAAACTGGACGGCACAGGGTGCCAGTAGCCACTAACTTTGACGTCTGAGAAACGTCGGGCGACGTTTCCAGTCTGCCAGCAGCACACGTTACCACTAACCTTCGTACCACGTACAATTTTACGTAATACGACTTTTGTTGTCGGTGAAATACATTTGTGGGGCAGGCTGTAACCCCCAACACAACACACTTCAGCAACGGAGCTCATCAGATGAGTTCAAGATCACCTAAACGCCATTGATTTCAATCGCCGTTTACTTCATGTTCAACCAAAGTGGCACTTTCCTCTTCGCGGGTCCTCCGATGCCAATCACTTCGTCATTCTCAGTTCTCGCGTGACTAGCACGAGATGTGATATTTCAAAATAAGCAGCCCTGAAGAAAGAAATAAAATACGGGCGAAGAAAAGTGCAAATGAGCACGAAGTTACTTAAGATCCAGTGCTGTTTGAATATCGTGCTCGAGACGTACGCATGCGATTCAGAACCAGAA